TTGTAGCCAATCCAAACTGTGTCCACCACAAACACTGAATTCAACATCATACTTCTTTATTCAGTGTTTTACCAGATTGAATAACTAGGTCCATTTATTTGAGATGAGGAGACCTGGTAGACTTCTGGATATTTTGTGATCAGAGAAACAATATAAGTTTATTAACAGTGCTGAAATATGTACACTGAAAGAAACTAAAACGTGCAAAGCTAACAGCAATGATGCTAATGGTGGTGGACACAACAACTCCCATTAATCAACAGTACTTCACAATATCACCAAACTCTGTGTTTAGATATCGTTTTTTATAGAGGGAGCCCTGGTAACCATCTTATCTGGTTATGATACTTGTGTGTGTCGAGACATTGTGTGTGATTCATAATATAGGTAGCACCATAGTAGCAAGGTAAATAGGACCAATGAGAAAGCATCAGAGGGTAAAGTTGTGAAAGACAAAGTCGTCGTCCCCCCCCCCCCCCCCTTTCTTCGCCAGCAAGCAGAACCAGGAAGCAGCCCAAGAGGACTGTAGGAGCATGGGAGAAAGGAGAAGTGGAGCCCCGGGCGATGTGTGGGTCACCCCATCATCATCATAGGCAGCTGATGCCTGCCTGTGGGATACACAGTGCCTGGGTGGGTGGGGGTGGGCGTCCCATAGCCATTATTGCTGTACTGCTCAGAGACTCAGTGCTGCATGGAAAGCTAGCTTTAGCTATAGCATATTCAGTTAAATGGAACAAATGCACCTTCTTAATTCATGTGTACATTTTGTATGTAAAAGTATACTAAATGTACTTCTATCCCTGCAGCCTTCTAGGCTCCAGAATTCTGAGAATGACCTATAGATATGTAAAGTGCCATCTTATGGACTTTTAAGGAATCGATTCTCATTGGTGCAGCCCATTTTGTACTTGCAGACATTCAAAGGCCTACTAAGAAAGAGCAGGCTAACAGTGAGTAGCTAATTATATGCAAGTCAGCAGCAATGGATTTCCATCCACGCTCTCTGTAGCACTTCTAGTGAGATGACAGCAAGTTGGCAAGCTCTGCAGCTGGAGGCTTCTCTCTCTCTTCTCCATCCCTCCATCCTCCCAGGATTCCCTCTGTTAGATTACACACTTCGATGTTAGAACTGCCTCCTTTCCCCCAAACACCATCCGAGCCGCGTTGGGTTTAGGCTGTGACTGCGACAGATGCACACAGACTATAGGGTCGCATGATGCAGAGTGGGTGTTTGTTTCTGACACTGCTGTAAAATGCTAGAAACCAATCCAATGACAAGTTAATCCACTGCAGTCGTACCTATGCCAGGCCTGAGCATATTAAAGCAGCTTTAGAATGTGTTATGCTGGTATGATTCATAGGTAAAGAAGCTAGGCATTTACTGTAATGATGAGTCACCTTGTTCATATAGACACAACAAAGTAAATGCTGAATGAAATGGTGAAAGACAACATAACTATTAAGAGGTCCTGCACGTTTCTTACAAATCAGAATCCCTGAAACACAACAAAATGTAGGCAAACAGCCCTAAATATTAACTCTACGTCTTTTGCCGGCTGCAGTTTAACCCAACTAGCAAGATAAACTCAGAAGTTACGAAGACATGCATGACAGAAAAAGCTATAACACACAATGTTAAGGAAATTAGCATGCTAGCTATTGACCTTTCTTGTATAAATGTAACTTTGTGGCCTGCAATCAGAGTTACCTAACATTATGGTGAGACAGTCAGTCAGTCAGTCATGTCCCTCACAAAAAAACAACAACGTCCTTTTCTGCCCATGCTTAGTGATGACAAGGCTTTGACATCACTGTCAGACTAAGAATGACTAAAACTGACAATCCTCTTTACCTCAGAGAAAGAAAAATAGGAAAAACACTCAGCTATTGGGGAGGGGGGAGAGACTAGTGAAAGAGGAAGGAAGGCGGAAAAGGCCTGCATGATTCACACAGCACGCACCACAGCGGCTGAGGTAGCCGTGTCTTGGAGTACGTGAGTCATGTTTATCATGCAGCAGCAATAGGTAGGGATTGCACAATTTTCACTCCATTAGGAATGCTGCTGCCTTAGTGCAAATGCGTACCTGATGCTGGAGAATAACATCTCTAATGCCTCTAAAAGGCTCCCAGTGATGGTGGCACACACATTTCACACTGATGTCACTAGCCATGCTGGTGGAGGCTGCAGCAACAGAAAAACCTGCCAGAGATCTCCAGCAGAAATTCTGATTGATTTACTCATCAGCTGCTCCCTTATGCTACATTCAAACGCACTAGTCAAAATCCACATGTGCATCATTTTCATTGAAGAAGGCAAACTACATGAAAATCAACAGGATGGGAATATTTAAGGCAACCCTCTTTAAATCCTCCTCTCTTCACTAGCCAGGCTTTCCTAAGAGTGCCAGACCAATATTTTAATTAACAACCAAGAGTGTTTTTCATTGCCAGGGCAAGAAGATAGAGTGTAATTCTCCACCATAAAGCAGAGTTATGGCTCACGCGGCAAAGGTTAAAGCGATGATGGCGGTAACAGTCCGGTCCACCTTAAGAAGTAAAACCCTACAGTGGACAGCGCCGTGGTGCTGAAACAGCTCCGAGCGACATCTGTACACAAGAGAGGGGGGGGCGGGTTGATGGGATGGTGGTGGGGAGGNNNNAATTAATCAAAGTGGGTCGTCACCGTCGATTTTCTCTTATGCTCCAACACACAGTTGCACGGGGTGCAGAATAGTTTCCTCCCACTTTTTGCCCGGTCTTTAGTAGAAATGTTCGTCGGTAAATGAGATGGATTAGATTTTTTCATCTTGGTGTTTTCTCTATCGTGTGAGCTCCACACGTCCACTCTATACAGTGTTGTTTACATTCTGTGATGCGCGAGCTGATGACGTCACGTCAAGACGAGTTAACTTTTTTTTCCCCTCAACTTTGTGTGGAAAAATGCGGGGATTATGCGGCCTTTTGATAAATATGCGGCCTTTTAAAAATCTGCGCCATTTTGCTGATTATGCAGTCAATTCTGCGATCACAGAATCGCGTTTTTCTAGAGGGTCTAGTGCGTGTGGTAGGGGTTTCACAACTACACAACACTTTACTCGCTGTCACTGTCCTCCTCGATAACGATGTCCACCCTTCCAGGTTTTTTGGTTTGCGTTAAGGAAGACCAAAGCATGTGAGGGAAGGAGGCTTGACCGCTGTCGGGTGACAGTGTTGCCTGCCAGGGAAAACATCCGTTCACTTGGGGTGCTGGTGGCTAGCCAGGTAGCTCCTGGAAAGCTTGGCTAAACGGGGGAAGCATTTCGTGTTTTGTGCCCACCACTTCAGAGGGTTATCCATTGTGGGGATATGGGGTGTCTGCTGGCAGTAATCCCGTAGCTCATTCACGCCACTGTTGACCCGTGTTTTCTTGTTGCTCTCGAAATGAGGTCTAAACAGCTGTTCAAAGAGGGGGCGCTAGTGGAGCACACTCGTGAACTTTTAGTGCCGGAGCTGAAACTGTAGAGTGCATAGGTGCGGCGCATTTGCGCATAAGATGAGGACCCCTGAAAGTCGGACGTGTTTTGCTGGAGCGTTTTGCAGCACCTCAGCGCCAATGTCGGCATACTCATCTCCCACGTTTGCCTCCATTTTGTTCACGACTAGATGACTAGGGCCTATAGCTTTGACTAGTGGTAGAGATATTCAACTAGTTGGTGAAACCCCTAGTGTGTGGGGAGTGTTGCAGTAGAAAATTCCACTGTAGCGCTGCAGCCGCCGCCACTGTGGGCTAAGCCCCGAATGTTTTCCGGTGCAGACGACCCCCCTGCCGGGGACACATATTTATGTATAAAAGACATCAAAAAGTGTATTTTGCATAATAGGTCCCCTTTAAGTTAAATACATTTTCATCGTTTTCCCTAGTATGGGAAATCAACATGTCTGCTGTGACCATTCTAAATGGCTAGCAAAGCGGATAAGTTACTAGTTGGCAAAGCTAATGTGGGGATGCTAACTGTTTTGGCTGACCTTCTCAACAACAAAAACCAAAGCCATTGTTTGGTTGCTATGTGATGTAATATTACATGCCGTAATGTTTGAACATTTATAAAGCTGCAGTACAAAAAGCCACTGTGTTAAAGTCAGCAGGCTCATGTAACCCATTGGTAGGTTGAAACACTAATTAAATAGAGCGGTTTTCTTGCTGAGTGCAGTCCGAGTATTGCGGTTAGACATGATATATGGTATTTCAGGCAGTAAAGAACTTTTAACAGCACACATTTTGACTTATAATAGTGAAAGCACAGGTGTAACGTTAGTGAAAGTCACTATTAATCATGCATTACATGTAGATTTGCCAGTTCTAAGGCTTATATTTTCCCTGCTGGCTCACTGAAATGGCTTACTATGACACTTACTGACTGAACCTGAGCCATCGTTATTGTTGTTGGTTCCTCCTGTGCTTTCCATGCTATGGCAAGTCTAAATAACAAACAAAAACTGAAAGATTTGATCCAAATCACACAAAGGAAGAAGTCCAGTGATGGTGGAGCCACTAAGTGCATGGATATGTTAACAAATCTTAATCTTTACAACAACAAAACCAAACCCTTACCATAGCATTGTCACATCATTAAACGGTTATTTTTTCTGTCATTTTGTTGTGTTTTTTTTAATGGTTTTCTTATGAAAACAACAACTGAATATCAATATAGTCTTGTCAATAGAGATGTTGTATCAGAAAACAAGTATATGTGGTGTTTTTAAGAAGGCATAGAAACATTACATATTATGTAATTAAATGAAGTTAAAGTTAATTTTTTTTAGTACGGGATAAAAATCCAGAATCCAAAACATTGTTCTTATGTTTATGATGGATTTAATATCAGCAAAGTACTCCTGATCTGTGTGGAATCCTATGTATTGCAACACTTGATTCTATCAAAGTACTTCTACTGGTTGTTTTTCTAACGGCTAATGAAAGGTATTGTTTTGCCCTAATGGATTTTCTCTTTTTTCTAACTTTAGGGAAGTCTACCACACCAAGCGCATGCAGCATGTCATCTGCATAAAGTGGTCCGCAGACAACAAATACATCCTGAGCGGTTCTGATGAAATGAACATCCGACTGTGGAAAGCCAACGCTGCTGAGAAACTAGGAGTGGTGAGTCCTGCCTGCTTCATCATATATTTTAAGCTTCAATCTATTTAATAATTTAGGCAATTTTCTGATTTGTACTTGTTCTTTGAGCCAATCAGAAGCTGCATTTTCCTCAGGTGTCAGGCACACTGCACCTCCCTCCACTTTAGCACCTGATCTTGTTTTATGAGTTTGCTGCATTCTTGGAAGCAGCCCTGGCCCCAGGCCCCCCCACAGCAGGGTAAGAGAGAGCGACTGTGCCAGGAGCTACGGCCCTACGGTTGCCAAATGCCATGATGGATGCTGACTTAGGGTAGAATCACTCTCAATAAGTACAATGTACCAATTTGAGAGGCGACTGTGGCAAACGGATGTCCAAAAAAAACTATCTGTGTGGTTGTTTGACCAATCAGAGAGAAGATTCAGTTGAAATACCGGCAAATTCTTCCGTGACTTTTACTACCTGTTATAGCAGAAATTATAATGTTTTTTCAATTAAAGATCCAGTGAAATGCTGAGAAGTGCTTCATAGCCCGAAATCCCAGTTAAAGCTGAATAATAAATATCAATTTCATCTCATGTGCCATCTCCATCTATCATTCCTAATCACATGCACTCTTGCTTATTCTCTTAATGCAGCTTCAGAGTGGAGAATTGGCCCGCTTTTGGCACTTGTTTTACTGTCACTGTATGAGAGGAGATTTATCCGCAAGCTTTGCACTTAAAGAGATCAGACAAGGGCTGCTCCTATCAGCAGTTTAAAATCAGCCAATCACTTAAAGCGGGCCACTCTGAACATAATGAAGCATTAACAATCAAGTTATACCGAAAGGGGTCTTTAATTATCCAGAAATGCTGAATGTGTCGGGATCAGGGCTTCTCCAACAGCTGCTGCACATCTCCAGTTCTTCCCTTTATAACTTTGCACTCAGTGGACTCTGGCGGCAGTAAAGTAGACCCTTTATTTTAAGGCAAAACAAGTCGAATCAATCCGCGCCTTTTTGTTTCCAATCGGGTAACATGTTGGGTACTTCCCATGTTTTTAAAATCGCATCATTACACTTTGATTTAAGGTTGAATTGCCAAATTAATTGTTTAAAAAAAATGTGATGGATGAAATTGATGTCGCGTTTTTTCTACTCCATCAGACAACAATTGTAGATTAACACAAATGTGGTCATATTTTTAGGTTTGTCATTCTGCAAAAAAAAAGTTTATTTCAGACTTCAGGTTACATCATTATTGCAAAAAGAAAGAAAGTTCTGAAATTCCCGTGTACACACGAGCCACACGGCACAGCAGCTTTTCATGTTCCACAGTGTTGAGCCACAGTACTGCTGTGTGGTCACCCATGTCCAAACCCAATACAGTCAATGTACAGACTCAACAGGAGGAGGGGGAAAAAACATCCGTATGGCACACCAATGATATAATGATCCAGGGTCATAACACTACACACGTTAAACAAGAGAAACTAGACTTGAAGCCTAAAAAGACACTTGTGTGCGAGCGAAGCTGGAGCTGTTACACAGCCTGTGTAGTCAGCTGTATTGATTTTAAAATAGAAGAGTATCAGTTCCTCAGACCCGTGTGAGTGAGGCAAGTGGAATGCGGCACATAGTCGAGTCAAGTGCAGTAGTCAAAAGCGGCATGGAACAGTTCGACTTTGTAGGGCAGTTGCAGTACGTACTTAAAAGTACTGTAGGAAAGTAGCTATTTTTTTTGTTTGTAATTCAGGCTTTATTTGTTCCCTTTAAACATTTTCAACAGACCAACAGATAATCTTAAAGTGGTCCTTTGAGGCTTTGTGGTTTTCGCTATCCTGTTACATAGGTTTCTGTACATGTAAATCCATTGGACTCCTTTGCTTACTTCTGTGACAAAATGTCTAATGAAATCAATGTTACACTAGCGCTTCTATTGGCTAGTGCTCCAACGACAGGACATCTCGAAGCGGTTGACCAATTACAACAGAGCCTGTCTGCTAACCAATCAGAGCAGACTGGGCTCTGGTTTCAGACAGAGGGTGAAAAGAGGTGCTGCAGGAACAGAAAACAAACACAAACTGATGAACCAAACTGTCTATGGTAAACATCAGACAGTTTTAAAGACTGACTTCCTGGTTCCCCTTTGAATTACTAACATGTTTTTAATGTTGTTGTTTATTTTGCCAGAAGGTACTATTACTAACATTATGAGCATAATTAAGATAATATGGCAAAACTGTTTCTTCTCACTCCAATGACCTGTACAACCATGACTGCTTGTTTGTTTTGCCTCGTCAGACTTGTCAGTAAGACATCAGCAATTCATTTGGTGAATGCAGTGTTATCGTAACTGATAGAATGCCTAATCTCTGCCACTGTCTAGAAGAACAATGTTATCATCATGATTTGACGTCTGCTTACAAAATCATTGACATAGTGGTATCTCCTCTCAATGTATCCCATTGTTTGTTGCTGCATTTTCCATTCCCGATCTGCAATTAGGACATGTTTCTTTGTACTTTTTGGAACTTATTTGTAAAAAAAAATTAAATTATCTCTGCGGTGGATATTGTACTTTGAAGGTTCTGTTATCCCGTCTTACAGCATCAGTTAGGCATCAGTTACTACTTGCACTTAGCTGCAGTCTAGTCTTTCTAATAGCTGTCTCTATGGTGCACTCACTCTTCCTCAGCACCATGTGCATGGTGCTAGTTGCAAGAGCACCCGGAGAAGTAAGGCCTCTGGTTTTTGTACTTATGGAATCCCATGTTTCTGCGACTGTCTTTGCAAAAATATAAACAAATCATATGAGCCCGTATCTGACCAAACTCCATGTGAAGCATCCTCTTCTGCTCTCTCATATCCATCATGTTGAGAGCATACAAACTGTGTTCACCAAGCTCACCCTGTGTGTATCCAGGGGAATGAGTTTAGTACGACAGGATCAGCATCTCGCAGCTCTTCTCCAGCAAATTGAATCTGAGACAAATCACTGCTTTTAATTAGAATAAAAGCCTTCGAGGAGGGCAGCCTGAGCCAAGAGGAGTCCGAGTAGACGGTGGCTTTTATGAGAGAGACAGAGAGGGAGGGATGTTGTTGAGCTGGTGTCTTCACTTTTGAACAGACATTGATTCTATTTTGAATGAGCACAACGTTGAGCTGAAGTTACTGCTTACTGTACTGGCCAAGATTTTATGATGTAAGACGGCTTACTGTAACCGTCGGTAATTAACACCCTGAGCTGAATGCTAACTGCATATCGTGATCAGCGCTCCCTCCACGCTACTACGGTCCACTGGAAATACTCATATCTGGAACCAGGGCAAAAACATTAGATACTTATACTTTCTTATTTTAAAACGAGACCTATTTTTAGTTTTTTTGTAAAGGCGACTTGTGGGCTGGTGAATTACGATTGTTGTGTCTCAGATGCAAACATTTTGGGAGATAAGTTTATTTGCGATCTTGCCAAGAACTTGATGAAAACACTGACTACAGTCTGGGCTATAAATTGAATCTCACTACCAGACTGACTGCAGCCTCTAGCCATCTGCAGCTCTGTTTAAATGTTTCTTCCTATTTCTCCTTAGAATAATGCTGCATTATTCTCTTTTTGTAAACGTGCTTTTCTCTTTTTTGAAATGAATGTTATTGGGATGTGTTTCCCACCAACAGCCATGTTGTGTTCATTTAGTATTAACCTCAACCGTGGTCTAAACTTAACTAAGTAGTTGACAAAATAGTTACTCCACAAGGCCCATTTCAGCTTTGGTAACATAACGATTTTGTCAACTGTTTCCAAGGTCAATGATACAATTATGTTACGTTTGAAAACTTGCTCGCAAATTGTTAATGAAAAAGTTTTCTACCTTTTTTTTTAAAAGTTTACTTTGATGGTCATCTAAAATAATATTTGGTCCACACCTCAATATTTTGTACCTGCTTCAACAAAGAATTAATATAATCTTTAAATTCTCCTTTTCATGTCTTGTTCTGTCTCTCAATCCACTCTCCCCCCTCTACACTTTATCTTATTATAAAATTGTACCTGACCAACCCTCCTCCCTTTTGTCATGCAGCTCGCCCCCAGAGAGAGGCAGGCCGCCAACTACAACCAGAAGCTGAAGGAGAAGTACCAGCACCACCCTCAGATCAAACGTATCGCCAACCACCGACACCTCCCCAAGATCATCTACCACCAGACCAGGGAGCAGCGGGTCATGAAGGAGGCTCGCCGCAAGAAGTACGTGTTCATTATTTTCCCTTTTACATTTGGAGAAGAAATGAAGCTAGCTCATTTATCTAGAGGAATGGCCCCCTATGTGTCCATGTGGAGGTGAATTGGGCTGCTGCCAGGCTGGATGTGACCTATGCAGTCACAGCAGCCTAATGGAAAACCTCAGTGAAGGGACTGTCCCTATGACACGCTCTCAATAGCTTCTACATACTCATTTACAGCTTGTATGGTGGATTGATTGTCCCAGTTTGCCCTGCCGCACAGTGATTCATCGCTCAGTCTGCGTCTTTTTTTCCCTAATTACTTCTTTTTGTGACACGTCACACTTGTGTTTGCACCGTGAATGATTTACTGCTCATGCATTATTTTCAGGGTACATTAGTGTAGCCAATGACGTAGGTGTTAGGTCAACAGTCTTATATTTAGTCAATTCTGTTTGCTCATCTCTCCCTCCATCCTCTGACTGAGGTTGTTCACCAGCAGAATGAGTTTTTCACGGCTTTTACTCCTTTTGTTTTCCAGGGAGAGGAACGTCCGGAAGCACAGCAGGCCAGGAACTGTTCCCGTGGTGTCGGAGAAGGAGAAGCATGTTGTGACTGTGGTCAAATAAGCAGAGAAGAAGACAAAGGTGACCACCAAGAGATGAGGTGGAGACCAAGATCACACACAGGACATGTTCCGACTGCTTTCACTCTTAAGAACTTTTTCATTTGTCAGTTGTGGGACCAGTTCTGCCTCATTTGGAGTACACACAGCCTGTTAATACATGCAAACATCAAAGTTATTTCAAAGGATTTCCTTTACACACAGTTCTGTTTTCTGTTCTGTTTGAGTGGCTAACCCCACGTTTTGTTTTGAGCAGATTTGCATTTTGTATTACAGGATCCACAACCATGAAAATAAAGACTATTTTAGATTGATCCGGTGTCTAAAGAATGTCACATGACTCACCACAAGGACCAAACGAAATGTGTTGCTTGTGGTATTGTTATATCTTTGTTCCATTGGTAAAGTTCCATCAGTAAAGAAATGTTATTATTAAAACTACTAAAGATGCCCTACCGAATGATGCGGTATGCTTCAAATGATTCCTTTTGACAATTTCTGAAGTCAAAAGTGTTCCGTTACATTTAGGCCCACATTCCCTAAAATATATTTTTGATGTATTTTGTTGTTTCAACTTAAAAGATTGAACAACTGAGGCTGGTTTTATAAACATTGGGACAATCTCCCCATGATCCAGCATCTCGCATTATTCCAAAACCCCCCCCTCCTACTTTCTACTACACACATGGTCCATCAGATGTCATAGGTGTTTCCAGTCATTTCAATCAGACTGGAGGAAGTCATTGGACAGCGGACATGCCTGTTAAGCCGTTGTTACTATGCCAGTGCGCAGCTAGCTTGACATGCTATCACTTTAATCGAAAAAGGGTTTTCAACAGTAGGCTGTTATTGTTTTTGAGCCTTAGCTTTGATTTATTTTTAAAATGTCAGTAATTAAAAAAAAATGGTCAATGTTAGACGATCCAACACACTTTGGGAAAGCATAGTTCACTTAATCTATATGGAGCTAACACTGTTTTTGCTTAAATGTATTCAAAATAAACTATGCTCTCCAAACAGGGTGACGTTTAGAAATTGTGATCTGAATGATAGTAAATTCAAACAACAAATTCCTTTCCCTTGTGTTCGACAAGGGTGCTAATTTACTTCGAGACCTAATGAGGCAGAGGTGACATCCACTTAATGTTGTCCTTAAATCCTATTAGCACTGCAGTCTGAGTGAAGGTTTGTCTTTGGGAACGGGTCAGGGATCAAGAGGAGGCACTTCTGGGGTCAGAGCTGAGCAATCTGATACAGGGATGAAGTCACCTATTGAGTGTGCTTGGTTCAAAGTAGTTTGAAGCATTACAATGTGAAACCTGAAGAGTTCAGCTTTAGAGAAATTTATGTTTGCTTGATTTTCATGAATGGATTATCAACCTCTTATTTTCATGATTCAGTGATGAGTCCATGGGCTAAATGGCCTAGTTTGTTTCTTTGAAACCTAAGATACTGTATTTTATTTTTAAATCAGACACTATTCTCATGAAACACTTTCTGTCTACTTCGGCCTATTAGAATTTCCTTTGCAGAATTGTTCTCACGGCTTGCCCAATCACAATCCTGAAGACTCAATACTAGACTAGACTATATTTAGTCTTTGGGCACATAACATTGGATAACAGCAGTCCCATGTGACCACATACTAAATATAGTATCACAGGAAAATGACTATTTCAGATACTAGCCGGGGCCCGATCAAGTATTTGGTAAATTATCTCATATCAAATATATGCACATACATGAAGTTTATCTATTATAAACAGTATAAAAGACTTGTTTCGTAATTTTACAAACATCTTGATTTGATTAATGATAATACTCGTGTGAAAAACGTTTATTGTTCAAAGCTTGTCAACACCAGATTTCAAAACAAATGTGAAATTATTTGTGATTATAAATATACTCTGAGAGCAACTAAGAGCTGGCAAAAGTCCATACATATTTATTTATTTTTACAATTGTTTAAGAAATATCCACAGACAGGACTTGTTTAATTGTTTGTTCTTTCATTCATCATCACAGCCTTTCTCCCATCAGCTGGCATCAAAGACTAAAAAGCGGCCTGATGGGAAGCGCTGCCACACCTGCAGTAACAGTCATTGTCACTAGTCATGTTCTGTATTTATCTCCCCTCTCACGGTGCTCATGATCCGGTTATGAAATATGCATCATGCTCTTCCTGGCACCGCTCCTCCAGTCCGTGTTTTCGCTGCTGCTATCCGCCTGCTGTCAATGAACATCCAGCGTCCTCTCGGCTTTATTCCTCTACGTGTTCCCATCGCTCCGCCTCCTCTTCCTATCTGGATTTTTTCCTCCTCTCTCTCTCTCTCACCTCCTCTCAATCTCTCTCTAATCTCTCTCTCTCATTGCATCCATTTTTGTGCATTTAAGAAATCTCCAAGAATTACCAACCTGGAGGAAAGAGCTAACCAGAGTGACAGAGGAGGGTTAAGAACTCAAAACAAACAAGGACCGGGACCGGGCATCTTTTATTCCACCATGCGAGTGAAACCTCTCTAAAGGATGGCAGCGATGGGTTAGACAGGATTTAACATGACTGCAAAATAAAAGGCAAGAGTTGGCTTTTTAAACCTCTGTATGTTTCTACTTTTTGTATCCCTGGATGGAGGCTTCTGTTAGGAATACCAAAAGGATATAGTTCACAGCCTGTGCACTCTTGCTTCTTTTAAGGGCATTTTATTCTAACCCTATGTCAGAAATGTCCATGTGTAAATGTTCTACATATTGCTGTTTGCATTCAGCTGCAGGGTGTTTCATAACCCCGTTATAGGCATTTAATAGATGAGGATAAAGCCTGATATTGATATTTTGACGCTTATTTCTGCAGCAATGTGCATGATAGGCTACTCCTAACCGAGATGTCATGCCGCCTGTGAACCTCCAGCAAACCCCACTTCCAATCTGATATTTGACGGCATGGTAACACAAATACCGACCGGAATGCTGCTGGTTGACAGTGCTTTTCTCGTTTTTATTGTAGCCAGCTGTGTGTAAAAGATGTCTGCTCCACACGGGCCCCGGGGCGGCCCTGGCCCTGCTGCCGCTGCTGCTGCTGCCGCCGCTGCTGCTGCCTCAGCGGCCGGCGACATGCCGGAGATGCCAGACCTGAGCCACCTCACTGAGGATGAGAGGAAGATCATCCTCGGTGTCATGGACCGACAGAAGAAGGAGGATGCGAAGGAACAGACGATGTTAAAGTAAGGAGAAAGCGGATATAGTTGGAGCTGTTGCTGTTTGTGGGTTATTACACTCATACACTGTGAGATACTGGTGGCTCTTGACATCCTAAATTGTCGTTTACTAGCCGGTAGCACCAAGGTGACATCCATCTTTCCTTCGCCTGGTTATCACCTCTCGCCTCCCTCCGTTTGAAAACACTTTATCTCAATGTGTGTGTATCGTTTTATAATGCGGCATACACTCGTACCGCTTTCCCCCCACTTTGTTGTAGCTATAGCTGTACTATAAGGGGCTGGGTTAGCAAGCAACGGGCGCCATTTTCACGTAAAAAGCACGCCAAAGTGCTTAACCTTTCCCCACGAGCGTCACCGAGATTACACAATATGACACTGGAAAGATCATTTAAGGTGTCCTTTGTGGCAATGCCGAACGCGGGGTGTGTGTGATTTCAAACGTTAGAGTCNATTTACGTGAACCTCATCATGACACGAGAGGACGGAAGGACTGTAATTTCCCGCCTTCAGTGAATGCAACAGAGGCAAGACACCAGACCAATCAGAGAGTTGCATGGAAATAAATGTGTGCTTGTGTCATTCAAGCTCGGCTGTGTGTGTGTGGCAATAGCGCATTTAGTGTGATAGAGAGGGGGAGAGAGGGACCGGTGCCAGCAGGGACCGTGTTGTTAGCATCTGGTTAGCTAGCTGCACTAACGGACATAAGGAGCTGTTTCCACAACAAGCTGCAGGAGAGTCCTCTCCTCTCAGACTGAGAGGCTCAGATGAGCTAAAGGACTCTCTGAGTGTTTAGATTGTTAACTTTAGTCGAAGTTATCTCAGTGGGTCTCAAACGGTTTGGTCACAAATACTCTCTGATTGGTCTGGTGTCTTGCCTCTGTTGCATTCACTGAAGGCGGGAAATTACAGTCCTTCCGTCCTCTCGTGTCATGATGAGGTTCACGTAAATCACGGTTAATGTATTATATTATTGGAGGGAGAATTGTCCGGGGCTACAGAAAAAAACATGGTCCGCGGTGTGTCAGGGAACTCATGCAGCGTCAGAAAATAAAACCCTCTCTCTTTTCCTCCGTACCCAAATCTCTAAAAACGGGGCTACAACGGAGCTGATCCAGATTTGCGTCCGATATGGCTTAATATCTGAAATATGGACCCACGGCACAATCATAAAGTTGCTATCAGAAACAATGCCCGTCTGTTTTGGACGTAATATGGTCGGTGTTTACACTAGCATCGCTAACACTCAGAGCTAACCTGTACTGGAGAGCATGTGTGTGAAGAAGCAGGAAATAAAAAGGAAATCACCTTGTGGTATAACCGGCAAGAGAGAAAGCCTTTGAGCTCCATACTGTTTCAGAAATAATCCTTGATAATCCATGATATGGCGTTTCATCACAGCAGTATTTAGTTTAGACAGTAGCTGCCGGGTCCCGCATGAGCTCAGCCCCCTCCTTTTTTTTTTTTTTTTAAAGCTTTATACCCAAAATCAGCACTTTTGAAACAGGAAGTGAAATAGACGGATATGAGGCATGGCTAGAATGGGTGATCTGTTTGGTATTTTGAGCAAAACACTTCATAGACTATGTTTTTTTTATATATTTTCATATATCTGAGACCTATGCTATTGCCTAAAAATGGAATGATAGGTGACCTTTAAATATAGGTTAAAATAACTAAACCTAAACAAAACTGCTGGTATCATCACCTGTATTGAAAGAAAATACTTATACTATTAAGTATATACTATTGTACAGAAATAGTATTTGATTATGGACAAGTTATATATGCTCTGAAAACATTTATTGCAATGACAATTCAAGTGTATGTTTTTAACTGGTGTTTAGGGTCACACTAACCTACTGTGGCCTCCGTCCTTAGGGAAGATGCGGATGGTTTTGTCAAAACTCGCAGATACAAACTCCTTCCCAGTTGGGGAATAGTCCAGATCCAGCACTGCAGAGACATGATCCATGTGCACAGTGATCGGCTTGTCCAGGTGCCTCATGTCGTATGTGTAGAGGCTGAAGAGACAAAGAAACTGAATTACACCTCTAAAGCAAATTGAGTTGAGGTGGAAAGCAAGTCGGTAAAATAATAAGTCGACCATGTATTAGTTAGCTGGCTCAACTGTTTTGAAAGTCTATCAATAGTGCAGAGCTGGACTTTACATGTGTTAGGTACATGTGGAATTCTTCCTGTTTGAGGATAAATTACTGAGCTTGTAAACAGGAAAGCTCATTAAGTGGCAACACAAATACAATAGATATGTGGATCCTTTTCACTGTAACAATTATCCTCCACTCACTTGTAGTCCTCATTTGAACATGTGAAGTAATAGGCTTCCATAGGGTTCCAGCATACTGTGTTGCTCCTCATTGTCATAATAACCTTTTTTTAAAGAAAACACAAAGATACAAACATTATACAATGAATATATAGTGAATAAATCAGAAATAGAAATGCAGCAACTAAATGGCAAGCCTTACCTTTTTAAGAGGTGCTGGTTCTCTCATGTCATACAGCACTATACTTCTGTCAGAGGCACAACTAGCAAGAAGTTCAGTCTGTGGAAAGACATTAAGATATTGTTTACTTCAATGGCTTCAGTATTCATTGACGAGATGGGGTTATGAAACAGGTATAAACACTCAGTTATACTTGTTTTGAGTTCTATACTCTACAGATAATCAGATGTAATAAGTCATATGGATGTAAAATTAGTGAAATATGGGTTTAGTTGGTGTCATTCGAGTGTAAAAGTGTAATATTGGTGTATTTAGGGTGTCATAATGGTCTAACATGGTTGAAACACAGGTGCAATAAAAATATAAAATGTATATATAACAGGCAATATATTTCGGGAAAATAGGGTCATAGTTTTACAAATATCATGAAATTGTATTATTTTAGCCTAGATATATTAGATAATAGCAATGTGCCTCCCCATTTAAGGGTTAAAGATTTCAGCAGGTGGTCTTCACTGAGTGGGGTGGATGCATGGTGCCTCACCTCCACAGGGTTGAAGCGCACGGCGCTGAAGCTGTCCACGCCCCAGGTGAAGGATCGGATCGGGCTGCTCCTCTGCTCGTCCCACACGTCTACCTGCTGGCCGCATGTTGCAAACACACCCTCTTTCCTGTGATGGTCCAGTCCTGTGAAGACTGTCTGTAAAAGGGAAAACAAATCCTCTTTGATTAATGTGATATTCACAACCTCTCACTCGTGGATAGAAGTCAGCCGAATCAAGGTGATTTTATTTGTTTGTATTCTAGCGATAAAGAGTAACTCAAATCAGACAGCCTTCTGCAAGTGAAAGTTAAAAACAAGGAAATGATCTTGATTAAATAAACACAATTTAGAAAATTATATATTTAAACTAATAACTGAAATTGATATATTTGATGAAATAATAATAATAATAATAATATTGGGAGGGATGAAACCCTCGTTAATGGTCACACATGCAGAGCACACAGCACACAGTGATATTTGTTCTCTGCTTTTAACCCATCCTAGCACCAGGAGTCTAGTGCTAGGAGCAGTGGGCAGCTATTGCACAGCGCCCGGGGAGCAATAGGAGTGAGGGGGGAAGGGGGTTGTCTGGTGCCTTGCTCAAGGGCACGACGGCAGGGCAGGAGGTGAACTCCACACTCAATTTTTAAGTCTGGTCGGGGACTTGAACCGGCGACCCTACGGCTCACAGTCCAATCCCCTACTGACTGAGCCACTGCCGGACCTTGTTAAAGTAAAGCATCTATGTATCCACTATAGCATGGGTTCCCAACCTTTTTTCACAAGAGCTCCCCCCCCCGCCAAATGACTCCTGTTGGAAGGCCCCCAGGTTGGGAACCACTGCACTAGAAGGCCTGATTTCACTTCACAGTATACTTACAGTAAGGACAATCTTTGAATTCGAAATGTATTTTATTTCTTCAATTTTCAGAATGGATATGCACATGTGTGGCCACATAGGTGGAGGTGAGTTTATGTATGCAAGTGTTTAAATTCTAGATAGATCCTTCCCTTTTAGTGTATTGTTGTCCATTAACATTGTGTAACCACAGCTGTCTTTGATGATAACACTACTGTAAATGCCTGCTGATCTCACCTTGCCCAGAATAGTGTTGAGCGGCTCCTCTTCCTCTCCGTAAGCTGGTGCCTCTATTTTCCATTGCTTGATTGTTTTGTCGTCACCAACCTGTTAGAGTCACCATGCCCAGGTATAAAAAAAGAAGCTGTATTAGAGGTAAGCTGACAAAACACTCATAATTCTGAAAAACTATTTCTAGAAGGGCTGCAGTTACCGTAAAGAAAGACGTTCCACAATGGCGTACGACCATTCCACGGACAAAACCTTCATGTGCTTGCAGAGTGCGGACGCATTCACGTTTGGTGAGATTCCACACTTTCACCTATGAATCATATCCAAATACATTTACAGAATTGTGTGTGCAATTTCACAGTTCCAAACAAAAGGCTCAACAAATGGCACTTTTTCAGATAGTTACCTCTCCATCACAGGAGCCAGATAAAAGGGTGGAGAGGTTGGTGGTGTGCTTGGCCAAGCAGTTCACCCCATCTCTGTGTCCATCCAGAGAGGCCAGGAAGGGCTTGGCAAACACTCTCTCAAGCTTGGTGGCATTCAGGGCCCGGGTGTACTCTCTGCTCACCTCAAACGGATGGAGGGATGGGTCATAGTTTCTTGGAACTAACAGAGAGAAGAGAATCATTAATGAATTGGAAGGACAATTAACTTGCATATAGGACGATGCTGTGTTATGAATATGCAGATAATTCTATGTTAAGTATAGGTTCAGGGATAAACTCAGTTGAATGCACAAGTTTGATTCATTGGAATACATTTAATTGTCACCAGTTAGTTGCAATTCATGGACATGCCATTTGCTTTTGTTTTATAGGTTTAAAAACTAAACCTGCAAATATGATATACATCTACTTTCAATGTAATTTTAGTGACTTTAAATGGATACTAATGTTGTAGCTGACATTAAACACTAAGCAGATGTTTGAAATTCATCATATTTGCTGTTTTTGGTTTTATCGTAGCTTAAAACACGAAATGTTGTCCCTCCAGATATATTTACGTTAAAAGTATTTATTTTTATCACAATATCCTAATTTGCAAAATTCAGTAACAACATGAATGTTTTCTGGCTAGCATTACTACTAGCATACTGCGTTTAGCCTATCCAAGTTTAACGTTTATCGCTTACCACGCTGGATATCTAGTTTTGTCTCGCGGACATAATCATCCGGGTTCCTTGAGAGGAGTTTAACTTTCATTCTGTAGACGACTGAAAATGGACACACTCTTAAAAAAGGCCGTTGTGTTTAGGTTAAAAAAGAACAATATTAGCAACTACTGGCCATGTGTTGAAGTCGAGGAGGAAATTCATTTGGCCGTGTTGCATTGTGGGATGTCCGGTCCTCCTGGCTGCGTGGGCTGCGTCACTGACAACTTTAAAGAAACGGCAGTCAAGTTGCAAAAGTTAGCAGAGAAAGATCGACAATAAAACGATGACATCTTCAAACAAGTAGTTACATGTTCTGCTTTGTGACAAGGCACTGGAGGGTAGCGTTAATTCAAATATATGTTGATAAGCCGTTTTTAATAAAGAAGTGTAATGAGAGAATAGGGCCAAGATAATGACTTGGATTGATGTTGTTCGTCTAAACTGGTTTTATTTTGAAGTTTATGACCGGAAACACTGTTCTTAATTTGCTTCTACTTGATACTAGTAGCAAGGTCGAGTAGTAGCACTGCTGTGCTGCTCCTTGACCTGTAATGCGTTACCTCAGCCATGGAGTATCACCACATGTTTAAAACGTGGTTCCGTTGCTAAAATGCAATTAAAATGAGGGCGTGTCAAGTAGTTAGTACAGTGTGTAGGGTAGCTGTGTCAATGAGGTTTATTCTAAGTGTTTGCTAACAGACTTTAGCATTACCATACTGACTGATTCGCTAGCTGACAGGAGTTAATTACCAGTTACCATGAGTTCCGCTCCAAATCACGGTACCGTGAACGTCACGGAGACAGAGTCCAGCAAGCCCGTGTCTGCTGTTTCTTTAGCCGGACATGTCAAGCAGGTCTTGGGCCATGTGAAGATAGAAAACCTGGTCGCAGGACTCAGTGGAGGTGTGGTGTCAACAATGGTGCTTCACCCTCTGGACCTGGTCAAAATCAGGTTTGCAGGTAGGCTACTGTAATACATTGTACTTTATCGATACGTGATTGACAATTGTCCATAGTAATAATGTCATTAAAGTCATCTGCATTTATCCACTTTCATGCCATTTGGAAATCTGACATCTTAAAATAGATTTCACCATGGTACCATGCTGCTATGGGCAGTGGTGGAAGGATATTTTACTTAAATTAGGTGTAGTACAAATCTGCCATTCGAAACGTAACTTAAGTAAAAGTACAAAAGTATTCCCATCAAAATATACTTACAGTTCCATAACTTAAAGTACTCATTATGCAACTTACAAATTATTTATCTAATATATCATATTCCAATAGACTCCCCAGATGTGCACTATTTTAACTATTTTATCTGTTTTATTGTGTTGCGCTGTTGGAGGAACGTGACCTAAGATTTTCATTGATATTCTACACTGTAGCTATGTAGAAATTAGGGCGGAAAGCCTTGAATTGAATCTTGAATCTTGAAATGCAGAATGTTCATTTTTGGAATAGTATATATTTTATCACTGGATTATAATTAGTGATGTTTTAATTTTGCTGGTGGTAAGGGTGGAGATACATTACTTTTTATACCGCCAGGTATCTTAATCCATAATAATGTGTCATATTTCAGTCGTCGATAAAAAAAATTGTATTATTAATATGAACCTGCAAAGTAAATGGTAACGTACAAGTACAATATTTGCTTCCAACTTGTAGTAGAGTTATCAAGTAGCTTAACATGGAAATGTTCGAGTAAAGTAAAAGTAGTATTTGAATGAATTCACCTTGTTTCTTTTTTTCACCACTGGCTATGGGTTACCTTATTTCATTTTATAAATTATTTTGGTCTTATGTTGAATTCAGATCTGTTTTTTTTTTACAAAGGTCTTTTTTGTCCTTTCAATGTAGTGAGTGATGGCTTGGATTTGAGACCTAAGTACAGTGGCATAATGCACTGTATGAAGAGTGTGTGGCAGCAGGAGGGACTACGAGGACTCTACCAAGGAGTGACACCCAATATTTGGGGTGCTGGAGCATCTTGGGGTCTCTACTTCTTTTTGTAAGGAAGCCATAAACCTGTTGTATCATGATAATTGTTTAGATTTGTTTTTTAATGATCTGTAACCATCATATTTCCCATGTTGATCTCCCTCACAGCTACAATGCAATCAAAGGGTACACGAAGGAGGGCCGTCAAACGGAGCTGACTGCAACAGAACACCTGGTGTCTGCTGCCGAAGCAGGTTAGTTCTGCATGGATCTGAACACTGCTGCCATGCTAACACACCCACATTATCAGAACATAGTCAACAACAACAGCCAGATCATACTGCTCCTAACTGGCCTCAGCTGACAGGAGGCAGAGTTCACAGCCCCTTCTGTTCACTTTAGGGTCACATGGGTCAGCTTCCTGCTGGACATGGGGAGTCAGGGGCTGGAAATGAAGCTGCTCCAAAATAATTAGAGAGAATTAAGGGAAGCCAATGTTAAAATAGATCCTGTAATTCACAATAAAAAACATCCTCGAAATAATGCCTTGATATCTCAAAGTAATGACCTAGTACATTAAAATAATGCCAGAGTATTTTTTAAATAATGACTTCATAATTAAAAATAATGTATCGCAATAATGTAAAAAGTATCACAACATGATGATAATTTTTCTCAAAAGTATGACTTAGTTTCTCAACAATAAATCATTTCTCAGGCAATCCGTAGTCACATCTGACTTGATTCCATTTGGCATTCAAATTATGCAAATGTGGAATTTAGGGTTGTAATGGGAGTCAGACAGCTTATTAGGACCATTATATTAAAAAGGGGTGAGTAAAAAACATAATATTCTCTTAGATTTGATTCACTAATTTATAATAAAAAAACATGAAAAAGATGATTGTTGTTTTTTTGTCTAGAAAACCCCTTTGCTTAAATTCCAAGGGTTAACCTCATCACACCACACATGCTGCTGCTTGCAGTGTCTTATGCCTGTAGTAAATTACCTAACCAAATTATTCTTAGTAATCAGATTTATCAGGGACATCTGTGTGATTTGCGCCCAGAATCACGATAATAATAATATGTCTTTAAAGAGACATTGCCCTGAATTGGGCCTAGACAAGAGAAAAAAAAAAATCAATTTGCAGATTTATGACTTTGTATATCAACAAATAATCAATTTGTTTTCCCCTAAATAGACCAACTTAAACTGAGAATATTCAGAACTTTTTTCCAAAATGAACAACTCTAATCACGCAAATTCTAAATGAATGTAAACTATAACTTGACCGATTGGGGAAGGCATACAATTATGAGTTGGTAATAAATAGTTTTTACCTACAATTGCACTACTATTGCATCATAGCAAATAGCACTATACCAGCCTGTACTTCTTTAGGCAAATTGTATTCCTGACGTCTTTGTATGAATGTTTTGCCACATGGAACCACAACTGAACATATCATTTACCATCCCGTGGTCTGCCAACTTCAGTCACTGCAGTCTGTTAAACTGTTTTGTCTGGCCACCACCAGCACATCACAATCAATCTTACTTCACTAAGTGTCTCTTCTCTTTCTGAGGGAGAACCACTTCATCCTGTCTTAAGTTGCAGAAATATACAGAGAGAGGGAAAAAAGCACTGTTTGACAGAGCTGGCCGTGTGTGAGAACAATATTCCTAAACACTGAAGGTACTTCAGAGTCTCTCTTTTTTTTTTTTTTATGTCAGCCTCATTCTAACATTGCCTTTTTTCACCTAGGCATCATAACCCTCACCATAACCAACCCGATCTGGGTGACCAAGACCCGGCTGGTGCTGCAGTACAACGCTGACCCCAGCAGTAAACAGTACAAGGGGATGGTAGATGCTCTGATCAAGATCTACCGCTATGAGGGAGTGGCAGGACTCTACAAGGTAATACATCACCATATATTTTCACTTTAATGTAATACAGCAATATATGCAATGATTATGTTAAGCTGTTTTATAGAGGACTAATCAGGTTAAACTACCACACTACTTCAGCAAAAATTGACCTTTATCCTACAAGGCTGTAAATCCTTTTTATGTGAATTCATTAATCCCCACTAGAGGGCATCGACAACCTGTATTAACTGTAGTGGAGAACTTACAGGCCATGAATAATGGAAATAACAGCCTGACATAAATACGCTTTATGTGAATCAGCCTGGCTGGGTAATTGCAATGATATTGGTCTGTATAGATCTGATCAAATGTAATTTAATTAAGCAGGTAGGTTGTTGTACAATGTAGTGTAATGTAAGACTGACTTTCAGAGCATTTATTTGTCAAAGGGTTATGTTCCTGGTCTGTTCGGAACATCTCACGGAGCGCTGCAGTTCATGGCCTACGAAGAGCTGAAGAGAGACTACAACAAATACAGGAAAGCGCCTTCAGATGCGAAGCTGGTGAGTCATTAACCACACGAGCCACAAGCGGTCTGGAAACATGCTCAGTGTTTGATAATAGTCATAAAGCTTTACAGTTTAATAGGACTGAGCCCACAGTGGATAACTAGCAGTTAAAGAAGTGAATCATCATTTTTCCCACCCTTGCTCTGCTCACTCCTCCCTCCTTCTGTTTAAACAGAGCGCATGGGAGTACATCACAATGGCAGCTTTATCCAAAATATTTGCTGTGGCCACAACATACCCGTATCAGGTGGTGCGAGCCCGCCTGCAAGACCAGCACAACACATACAATGGAGTTATTGATGTCGTCAGACGGACATGGAGGTATGAGACCCATCCACTCACATAGAGGATAAACATGCAATCCTATCCTCGGTTTCTAAATGTGGCTGCAGTGGTGAACTGTCCCTTTAAGTGATGTCCAATTTGAGTCATGTTTTCCATTTCTCTGCAGGAACGAAGGCGCCATCGGTTTCTACAAAGGCATCATCCCCAACGTGATCCGTGTCACTCCTGCCTGCTGCATCACCTTTGTGGTTTACGAGAATGTTTCTCGCTACCTTCTGGGAAAAAGCTAATAAGGCTCACAATCATGGCATGGACAGCTTTAAAGACTCACACTGACTTTGGTGCCATTCATAAAAACAGAGAGGAACAAATACGTCTGAAGGTGATCTCACTGAATATGAAAATATTGTTTAACGGATTCAACATTGGATTATCAGATGCATGACAAGCTTTCACTTCTGGGCAAATGAAGTAAGGATTTTTTTACGAGAAGAGTTTGATAAATATTTCAACATGGTTATGTTTACATTTGGCAGAAGGAAAGGATGACATGTAAACAAGCTGATGTGAAGTCTTCTCAGTGTTCCAGTTGCATGTGTGTGTAATATTAGTTATGTTGCTTTTAAATTATATATTTTTGTTCACACAGCAGCAGATCATTTTTGTTCCAAAAACACCAATTCAATCATCCCATAATTCATTTGTTTTCTGGCAAAACATTGTAACTGCATTTCTTTCTAACATTTTACTATAACATCAAGAATGCTTTATCTGCATTGTCATGTATATGAATACAGTATATATAGTAATTTCTTACTATATTGAATAAAAGCAGAGAATTCATAGTTCCTAGACTTGAAAAGAAGTCAAAAAGTTGTGTTTAATTCTTTAAAAAAGATCACTTTATTAACATGAATATAAACATGTCACATAAGTACATAGTTTAAATATTGTCAATGACCGTTGAACGCTTAACAACAGCACCCATAAGCTGAAAAGCTACAGTACAAAGTTTATTTCTGGTAGACAGAATGACACAGTATTCGTTTTTATGGGCCTGTCATCTAGTATGGTATTTTAAGAAAATAAAAAAAAACATTCAAGTTACCATCATTGATGCTGTGGCGCCTCAGCAAACCATACCTGATAGTTTTGGAGGGCCAGATAACATACTGTCACAGTACCAGGACTGGTGCCTCCCTTACATGTAACTTTTTCATTTATTTGGGCAGCTCCTCAATGATAACCCTGGATACTGAATTCCACCCTGTAGACGCGTCACCTCTGGGATAGTCGTCGCAGGTCCCCACCCACACGGCCACATCCACCAGCCCTCCTTTGACACCCTCGCACAACCCTTCAACTGGAGGGGGGAAAAGAAGGCAGTTAAAATTAATTTCAGGGAACACCCAAACTGTCTCCAGAGATGGGACTTGTTAATTGTTTGGTTTCCTGACATGGTGGTGAACTTTTCAAATTGGAGTGTAACTTTATTTTAAAGATTGGTGACCAGGCTTTACAACTGCAGTTAAATAACCACTTGAAGGAATATCTTGGCATTTTGTGGGTTTAGATTTCTTGCTGTCTTGCCTAGATTTTGATTGGATAATTAATACCACTCTCATATCTGTTGAGCTACAAACAGCAGCCTGTTAGCTTAGCATAAGGACATAGGGAACACCTAGCTCAGTCTTTCTGAAAGTAACAGAAATGAATTAAATAAGTACTTTTTTTATAAAAGGGATAGCTCTGCATTTTGTGGCTTATTTGCTCTCTTGCCTAGATTTAGATTGGATAATTATTACCACTCTCATATATGTTGAGTTAGAAACAGTAGCCTGTCAGCTTAGGACACAGATTGGTTAGGGAACAGCTCTCTCCGAAGGCAACACAAATGATTAAAATAAGTATTTTTTATAAAAGTGATGGCATTTGTGGGTTTGCTGTATTGCCTAGGTTTGAAGTAGATAATTAATACCACTCTCATAACACTGTATGTTGAGCCAGAGACAGCAGTCTGTTAGTTTAGCATAAAGACTGGAAATAGGGAGCACCTAGCTTAGCACTGTATGAAGGCAACATAAATTAATAAAATACGTATTTCTTATGAAAGGGATAGCTCTGCATGTTGTTGCTTTTGCTTATTTGCTGTCTTCCTAGATTTAGATTAGATAATTTGATACCACTCTCAGTCTCATATCTGTTGATCTACATACAGCAGCCCATTAGCTTAGCACAGAGACTGGATAGGGAACAGCTAGTTTAGCTCTGTCCAAAGGGAACAAAAATAAATGAAATAAGTATTTTTATAGAAGGGAAAGCTTGGCATTTTTTAGGTTTTTCTTTTTTGCTCTCTTGCCCAGATTTAAATTAAAAAGATTGATATCGCTCTCACATCTGTTGAGCTACAGACAGCGGCCTGTTAGATTAGGACATAGACCGGATAGGGAACAGCTAGTTTATCTTTGTCCAAAAGCAACAAATAAGTATTTTTTAATAAAAGGGGGGAATACCAAAACCTTGGACCAGTTACTCCCTGATGGCAACCTGCTTCTGGCCTATGTTCCCAGGGTCCCACGTTTTTTTAATAAAACTAACATTGTGGGAGAATGGCTATCCTCGCAGTTCAATTGCAAACGAGTAAAAAAGAGAAGGACTTTGTAATTATAGTTGTAACATTAAAAATAACTTTTAGCCACTGTTGAGATATTGTTTAAAGTCAAGAAAATTATCTTTCCCACAAATTTGAACTTTGAACTTCAGCCAAACCTATAAATATATAGGGTGGGTGTTTTATGTGGACCAAGTAAAACATACAATAAACATGTCACCTAGAGAAAAAACCTTGCTGAGAACATAGGATCTTTGTAAGGTGTTTATAATTAGTTATGTGAAGTGGATATGGAGCAGGGGAATATGGGACCCTGGCAGTTTAGAATCCTGGGAACATAATATGCTTTCTATACAATGTTTTTGGGAAAGATTCAAATAATATTTACTTTGTGAGCTTTGTGCTGTAAGGCAAGGCAAGGCAAGTTTATTTATGTGGCACTTTTCAACACAAGGCAATTCAAAGTGCTTTACAAAAAATGAAAGACATTAATTAAGAAAATGGCATTTAAAATCAGTCATTAAAAAGAAAAGCTAATAAAAGAAACATTAAAAGAAAAAAGAAATGGATAAAAGTTACAGTGCAGTCTAAGATATGAATAGTTCAATTAAAAGCAGCGACAAAAAGAAAAGTCTTCAGCCTGGATTTAAAAGTAGTAAGAGTTGCAGCGGACCTGCAGGTTTCTGGGAGTTTGTTCCAGATATTTGGAGCATAATAACTGAACGCTGCTTTACCATGTTTAGTTCTGACTCGAGGGACAGAAAGCTGACCAGTCCCTGAAGACCTGAGAGATCTGGATGGTTCATAATTTAGCAGGAGGTCAGAAATGCATTTTGTGCTTTATAAACAGCAGCAGTATTTTTTAAATATATTCTTTGACACACAGGAAGCCAGTGTAAAGACTTCAGAACAGGAGTGATATGATCCACTTTCTTAGTGTTAGTGAGGACTCGAGCGGCGTTCTGAATCAGCTGCAGCTTTCTAATAGATGTTTTAGTGAGACCTGTGAAGACACCATTGCAGTAGTCAAGTCTACTGAAGATAAAAGCATGTAGACGTTAAAGAGAAGAGGCCCCAAGATGGAGCTTTGAGGTACCCCACATGTCATATTTGTCAACTCAGATGTGTATTTACCTATAGAAACAAAGTTGTTTCTGTCCTTTAAGTAGGATTCAAACCAATTTAGAACTGTTTCCGAAAGTCCCACTGTTTCCGAAAGTCCCACCTAGTTTTCCAGTCGGTCTAGTAATATGTTGTGGTCAACAGTATCAAACGCAGCACTGAGATCTAATAATACTAACACTGAAGTTCTGCCACTGTCTTTGTTTAAGTGGATGTCATTGAAGACCTTTACAAGAGCAGTCTCAGTGCTGTGGTTTGGACGAAAGCCTGACTAGAACACATCGAAACAGTTATTTAAATGCAAGAAGTTACTCAACTGTTGAAAAACAACTTTTTCAATGATTTTACCTAGAAATGGGAGGTTTGATATGGGCCTGTAATTGTTCATTACTGAAGCATCTAGATTATTCTTTTTTAAGAGTGGTTTAATGACTGCAGTTTTCAGGGCCTTTGGAAAAATACCTGAGTGAAGAGACTTGTTTACTATATGAAGTAGATTTGAGGCCATGCAAGGAAAAACATCTTTGAAAAATCCTGTTGGAATAATATCAAGGCAGCAGGAGGAGGATTTCAGAAGTTAAAGACACTTTACCTTTGAACAGAGCCAGGCTAGCCGATTCCTTAGCCTTATGCTATGCTAAACTAAGCTAACCTGATGCTGTCTCTAGTTTAAGCTCATCTAAAAAACATCTAACTCTCTAAATTCCCAAAGTGTTGAACTATTTTCAACTAAAATATTTTATAGCACTGTTAAAAATATGTTTGGTTTAGGTTTATTTCACAACAAAGTCCATGACTTTAAGCCGTACCTGAGGATGTTCTGTGGATGTTGATGGTTGAGTTGAGCTCAGGACTTCCTTGGTCTAAGTAGATGATGGACTCTATGGGCAAGGGTCCTGCGCACTCTGCTCCATTGAAGGTGAAGTACCACCTCTGGCAGCATGCATTCTTACACTTGAGTCTGAGGGAACCGCTGAAGAGGACTCTGAGGGCGCTGTCTGTACGCAGCTTGGTGAACGTACAGTCCTGCAACAAAGCAGAGGGACATCTTGGTAGTTCTCAAATATTTCTATGGATTTGTAAAACGTCTGACTTGGAACACCATTTTCCGCAGAAACAAGTCATTCAAGGTTTTGTAATACTTACAGCTACTTTACCCAGGTCAATCCCATAATTGAGAGAATTCCAGGCACACTGCTTGTAGTTGGGCCTCCAGGGCTCTTCAAAGATCTCGTTGATGCACTCGCCTTTCTCGCCTTTCGGCCCGTCGCGACCTGGAATACCCGGCGTTCCCGGGATGCCGTTGGCACCAGGGTTACCCTCTCTGCCAGAGGTGCCTGCTGGACCCTGCATGCAACTGCCAAACTGGGAAAACAGGGAAAGAGGAAGTCATGGTAACATTGGACAATGAAAAGAAGTCATGGAACAACATCAGTCTGCTGTTTCCAACTTCCTGTTTTAGATTTTCATTCTTCTCCCTGGGGGATGTTTCCCAGTTTAGGGCTGCATGCACCGTAGACACCTCAATGCTGCCATTCATCCAACCATCACACACAAGGAGCCAGATTACACCTCATATAAACAAATACACTGCCATAGGGCTGAAGTAAGTGTAAAACAGATGTGATCCATACCAAGCCAAAGCAATAGAACCAGCCGTCATGAGGCCGTGAAGCAAGCGCATGACAGAGTAACTTTGTTAATGTGGAACCAATGGCTTGCTGACAGGCTAAATTAGAAGGTGTTTGGCCACACATCTATCGGCGTGATTCATTGTCCAGCTGAATCTCCTACTATGTTTAAACAGATGCTGCATCTTACTCAAGCTGACTCAGAAAACACTGAGACGGGAGAGCTTGCCAAAACTGCCCTGCCATATACAGAGATAGACACAATGAAGATCCAAATAGCTTTGCTTAAAAAGTTCCTCAAAGGGACATTTCGACCAACAGATTACAGTGTGGTCAGCTCTTTTTTAGTCTGAGTTAGGTTTTTAATTAGGGTTATGTGATATGTAAGAGTAATTTACTCATTAATTCAGGGCAGACATGAACTGAAACTTGGAAGTGCATCCTTGCCATCAAGCAAACGCTGATGCCAAAAGGATTTGGGTCTGGGCTTTTGTTGGGTCAATCCTGCCCTTTAGCTCGGCATACAGCTGCGGACCAGTTATGGCGGCACATGGCCAAATGGCATTAAGGCAAAAAACCAAGCCAAGAGAGGGAAACAAAGAGCTTTTACTCAAGTTTCAACATCTTGTCTCGACTTTTGTCTCTGGGGAGAAGGAGAAAAATGTATTTCACATTATGGGAATCTGGAAAATACCTGAATATAGACAGAATTACAATATTCTAGTCAGCTGTGGTGAAAACAGATGGTTGGGAGTCTGTCTTAGCCATTCGGTGGCTGAGCTGGAGCAACCGGGAGATGTGAGGTCTGACATCATCTTTACGGGAAACTGGGACGTCTGAGATGAAACCATATGCTGCAATAGACCAGGAATTTGTCCTGAAGGAAACTGGACAGAACTTCTAAGCACCTAATAGATTGCAAAATGTGGAAATACGGAGTCTGCTTGGCTGATATTCAGCAAGGAAACGTCTCAGAGCTTTATTAAGGGTTAGGTTTTGGACAAGTTTCAAAGCAGACTAATGAATGGAACCTCTGTCCACTTAGCTACAGGTGAGTTAAATATTAGCTTCCAGTCTGCTGTTTCTAGTATAGTGCTGCCTGCCTGCATGAATTACACTCCAGCTCTACTTCATATTAGTAGCACAGTTCATTACTGTAAGAGAAGCATAAAGGCTGCATTTGCTGCTGAGTGCTGAGGAATCAGTAGTAAATCGTGCATTAGTCAACACTGAAGCTGGAGCGTGCACAGCGGGAATAAAATGCCCAGCTTTGAGACTTTTAGTTTTGCAGGATCTCACAAGGTTGCAAAATAGGATTTTATGATTACCATTTTGTTCAAATTAGCAGATCTTTCTTCTCCAGAGTGTCTAGTGCAGTTGGGCTTTTCTGCATCATTTTCAGCGCACTAGATACAAATGGTAACATAAGATGCTATTCATAATATCCTTTTCACTCATGGAATATAACTTTGGAAGGTAATAACGAGCAACTCCTTGAACTCTGTGGTGCTCAAAGTGCAGACTTCTAGGAGTCCCTTAAGGGGCGGTCACAGTCAGACTCCAAGCAAAAATAAACACCAGTTCCACTTTCATTTGACTCCAAGAGATTGGAGAGAGAAATGTGTGTCCACTTTGTTTCTTCACTCTCCACCTACAGCATGGAGGGTTATGCAATTCTAGGACAAAGACAGTCTATGATTGGGGTTGGTGTGAATTGAAATGAAATAGTTTTTCTGCCAATTTTTTCAGATAAACCCTAATCCGCCCTAAAATGAGTCAAATCCCCCCCCCAATACCAAACCATATTGCATTGTTTAAACGTATGAGACAGCAGAGATAACATAGAGAGACAAACAGTATGAGCCAGACCCCAACTTCCTGTTAGGGGGGTTTCCTGTCCACTAGTCTGCTGGAGAGCAGCCAGATCTGGAATAATAGAGATCCAGTTGACCACACAAAAAATATATAAAATAGGATTTATCCTCTGCTGCTGGAACCAGGTAGTTTTGGAAACCGTGTTGCCAAAGTGATAACTACCCTAATTGTACTGAAAGCTTGAATCCGTTTACTAAGTTTTTTATTTAATTTTTGGAAAAGACTTCTGACAAAGTAACGAAAGGGTAATCCCAGGATGAGTTGGAACTTCACATGCAAAGTGCTCTATGAATGTTAATAGAGATGCATAAAAAAAAGTGCTAGATGACAATAAAGCCAGTCAAGTGCACTCATTACAATTTCAAAAGAGCACATTTAATGGGTTTTCCGTTATGTGAAAGCACAACATTTATCTAAAACGCACACAAATCCTGGATTGGAACATATCTACTTTTGGTAATGATTTTAACAGCTACACTATAATTGTAGCTAATCTCTCTTACCTTGTCAGCATCAGGATCCTTTCGGTATCCTCTATTTCTCACCTTTTCCACGCCATAGAGAGGTAAAGCCAAGCAGACAAGCAGCAGCAGGCGGGCAATGAGAGGAGACATCATACAAGGGGAGGCAGTGTGTGCTCTGAGAGACTGCAGGATACTCTCAACAGTTCACTCCTACTGACTCACACTGAGAGTTACAGAGGAGGGCAGGACGAGCAGCAGCCAGTCACCTCACAGAAACCTCCTCTGAGGGAAAAAGTATCAGAACATCCCTGTGATACTGCTATGTATGGAAGAGTATTAGTGCCAGGGAAAAAAGAGTGTGATTTGTATTCCCTTTCAGTAGACTATCACTGTCAAGACAATCATATTGAAGAAGAAAAAGAGAGTCGATGTCAAGAATAAAGCCAAATATTGAGAATTACATTGAAATAATTTAGAGAATTAAGGCAAAATGTTGAGCAAGACATAAGAAACAATAAATAAGAGGTGAAAAAAGTTTTTTTGCGTGTTCTGAGTAATCTGGAAACATTTGAATGACTAGAATAAAGTCAAAATGTTGAGTATTAGGCCAAAATGCCTCGAGTGTGTAAATAAAAGTAAATTTGATAATTGTATCTTTTTTTACTAGATTTGAGGAGATAACATTGGTGGTAAGGAAAAATCATAAAAAGAAAAAACATTGACGCAAACACATTTTTGTTCAATTATTTTTTATTAAAATTAAATTGGATTGATACAAAATTCTGCTGACCAGATAGGCTACATAAAAAAGTAAAAACAGCTCACAACAGTCGTAAAGAGCATTTTGTAGACTACAGTAAGACCTCATTCACATGCCAGAATAAGAATACACAGGTACAAAAGAAAGGGACTGACAAAGATTCCCTTTTATATTGCTGCTTTTGGAACAGTTGGCTCCCATACATACAAGGTATAGAACCTCAATGGAAGAAAAGATCCCAGCAAAATACACAGGATTTTTTTTTTTACATAAAACACAGAGGTTGGTCTGGAAGTACTTAAAGGAGAAGGATATGGTCTGTGGCCATATGTTATAAATAACACCAGAACAACGCCCCATTTTGTTTACGATTTCCATACCTAATTAATAGTGGTTTGTGCTTCCATTGACAAATAGTGCAAAGTCTGTTTGATTACTCTTCTACAACTGATACTAAATCATATGAATTTACACCCAGACCAGGAACATAGACAGACATCACACATGCAAAACATCTGTAGGTTCTTTGAAGTTTTTTAAAAAAGTCACACATTCTTGTAGAAAACTATAAAGCTATACTTTATCCAAACTTACAGGACACTTCTTTGAAGATGCAATAAGAGTTTGTACAACAGAAATAAGCATCAAGTGTACAGTCTTTGATAGAGAACATAACATTTCAACATTGTCTAAAAATCAACTATACCAAGTATAAGAGTCTGCCTTTTATCAAAAGAATAATAATGTAAATTACAAGATGAGGTTTCAAGACAAACCGACTAGTAAGACATTCAATAAAACAGTTTACCACAGGAAGTCCTTAAGTTGAATGTTTGGCAATTCCATGACCTTTCTTAAAATAGCTCAGTGTAACGACTAGTCCAGTGAGGGACTCCATTTCTAAAAAATAGAATATTTACATAAATATTGCATTTGTTTTCAAAAATGCATTCTATGACAATGAGGTACAAATCTACAAAACAGTAGTCCTAATGTTTTTTATGCATGCTATCAAATAAAAAGACCATTGGTGGTGTATAAGTAGATCATAGCTTTGCTGCTGCAACATTCAGGTGAAAGGCCAAAAGCTCAGTAAAGCTGAAATACAGTAATCTAACGCCTTTAAACTCACTGCTAAAACTCTGGTCCAAACATACCACATATACTCAAGGTACGTTACATTTAGCTGGATATGAACATTTAATCACTAAAATAGAACCAATACAATCATTATTTGATATATATGACACAAAAATGGTTTGAAACGGATACATGAAACGGCATCAATGTGACTGGATTTGTGGATGGATGCATGGATGAATTTGGGGGGGTCAAATGTCTCAGCAGGTGCTGTCCTTTGTGTCCTTGCTCGCCTCAGGCACCTGGTTTGCCAGCTGGGGGGTGGAGAGCTTGATGCTGCTGTGTGATTGGTTTAGAGCCGTACGCTGCGGTCCACTGGTGACGTGCCTGACCTCTGACATCTCGCTCCTAGGAGTCATCCTGAAGCAGACAGGACACATCAGGATATCTGTGCTTATTTATTGTACACATATAGTTCTGTATAGCAAGGCAAACCGAATAATGGTGCATTTTCACTGTATGGCACAGCACAGCTATACTTTTACTTGTTACATGGAAGAAGTAACTTTGGGAACTTTGGGATTTTACCTTGCAAGACAATTTACATGTAGAAAAAAAGCACAATAGGGCATCTTTAATATACAATATCATTGGCCTGCAATTCAGATGTGAGTTTAATCTTCAAAGGGATTTTCATGATCCTACAGAATTATTGATAATGTCCAGAGCCCAGTCTGCTCTGATTGGTTAGCTGGCTGGCTCTGTTGTGATTGGTCAACCGCTTAGTGATGTCCCACCCCTTAACCCATCACGTACAATGTGTTGGAGCGGTAGCCAAAAGATGCGCAAATGTTACATAGTGATGTCACTATGTTACAGAAGTAAACAAAGGAGTCCAATGGAGGCGTTTCAGGCAGGGGGGGAGTGGGGGAGAGAAACTCCTTCTGCAGGGAGCTTTGGGATGTTAGCCTTTGCAGACCATTTACATGCACAAACACCTTTATAACACACTACAGGAAAGGCAAAACTATACAACTACAGACCTGGTGCCAAGAGTGAGTTGAGTCGGACCAAAACCATGCAGTGGAAATGAGGCATAATTACGTGTGAAACACTGAACAGCTGAAAAGAGAGAACATTTGATAACTTTGAGTGATTACAGATTTGTCTCACTCACCTCCCATCTGGGACTCTGTGCATGCTCTCTGAGCGGCTGCTCATCTTAGAGGAGCCCCCCCCTTTGCTACGTCTCTCTCCGCCTTCCCTCTCCCGATCTCTCTCCCTCTCCCCCCTCCTGGAGCTCCGGCTCGAGGTGCCCCTGTCCAGGTGCTCCCTGGCTGAGGCCTCGGACAGAGAACCATGTAACCGGGGATGGTGATTTCCCAGCGCAGAGGGTCCTTGATGGGTTGTCGTGGCAGCGTTGGATGCAGCGTTGGATGCAGCGTTGGATGCAGCACCGGTGCTCGTGCCCATGGACTTGGAGATGACCTTAAGCTTGTGTGAGTTCGGGTTGTGGTGCTTCTTCTTGTGCTGCACGCGGCTGTTGTGCTTGAGGAAGAACTCACAGGACTCCTGCAGCACCCGGCGGCTCTCAGTGATGGGACTGTCGGAGGAGGACATGAGAGTTTAGTGAAACTATGTATTTATCACTCATGGAAACTGAATTTTGAATAATACCAGGACACATCTTACTCTCTCTTGCGGGTCCTGTTGAAGAAGTAGGCCCACTCAGAGCAGGTTTTCTTACTGCTCACCCAGAACACTGCAGATATTCCAACCACCAGAGTCATTAAGTATTTGACCAGAAACAGGGAGAGGTCTGGGCGTTCGTGCTCGGTTGTCTGGAGCAGGGAGACATAAAGAAACCATGAAAGGACCCTTGTGGTAAAACCAATGTTTGACTCAAGACAAAATCCAGATTTTGAATTTATAAGCTCATTAACTGATATTTAATATATTTAAAAGGGGGCAGAACTAGTTTGCTTTTTTCTTCAACATTTTTTAAGGGTAATCTTCTACTCTCCTCTGATCATTGTCACGCTGTATGGCAGCACACAATAGCTTCTGTATAACACATTACATTTTTGAGGTAAAAGTATTTTTATTTTAAATTAGCTATTTAAAAATGACCACATAAATATGTTGTATTTGGGCCGTTTTTTCTTGATTCTGAATGCTATGTATTTGGTGTTTCTTTAGGAATGGATTTTTTGGCAAACATCTTTCTGGCTCAGAAGGCAGCTCACAAAAATCTTTGAATTGATGTATCCATTATTATATAACTGCAATACAGTCCTCTCAATGTAACCTCAGTTTAGCCCTGAGCCTGTTTTTCACGTCTCAGGCTCGAAAATGACATTCCCAGAACAAATGACTATATCTTCCCTTCTAAAAAGGGGTAAATTAATCATCTTTTTTCTCAAAGCAATGATAAACCTGTGAGTTGGATGTAGAAAAGTCAGAATCAATATAGATCTTTTTTATTTTAAAGTAAATTCAGATTGAACATAGTAAATAGTAAACAATTGTAAATTATTGTGTCCGTCCAAAATAAAACATTACTTATAGTGAAAACCACCCTTGAATGATGGGATCGCCCTCAATTTTGATGATTGACACCTCTTTGAACCGTAAGAGCCAATAGAATCGAGGGGAAGTTCCTAAAATCCATCTAAACATTACCCATTGGTGAATGAGTAACCAGAATGCCCAATACCGGAAGCTGTCATACACTCTCGTAGCAGCTAATATGAAATCTCCGTTATTGACATAAAAATTGAATGATGGATTATCAGTAAACATTTCAAAGTGACACAGAGACATTGGATTAACCTTCAGCAGCGTTTTTATCGTTTTAATGCCATTGAACACAACTTTTGATAAGAAAACAACAAAGGTAAGATGTTTTTAGCCGTTTTGGCTCCGTAAAGCTAACTTTGTTGTTGTTTCGCCGCGAGTTCTGATCGCTCAGTGATGATACTTATATGTCTGGAATCTGTGGAATCTCAGCTTGCTAATCGATATCTTGTTTGGGCAGATCCGATAAGTAATAAGGGTATTTTACCATGAGTTCTGTGCTAAGTGCGTTAGCATTTTGTCGCTCAGGGCTAATTCAGAGCCTTTGTTATTACCCTTGTGTTTTGTTTAGCTAAAAATTGTTAATATTGTCTGAAAGCTGAGTTTCTTCCCGTTAAGTGAGTATGACACATTCATAGTTTATTAAATGTTAAGAAGCCCTCAGATGCTGTTTCTTGCAAGATAATGGGGCTTAACTGGTTAATACCTTCTACAAGAGCCCATTTTCATCTAAAAGACAAATAACATTTTTTGTTAAATGATGCGA